TGGTAGCCCAGGCTGGCCTCGAACTCACAGAGATCCGCCTGGCTCTGCCTCCCGAGTGCTGGGATTAAAGGCGTGCGCCACCACTGCCCGGCATATAATGATTTTTTTCAATTAAAAATAATCTATGGTAAAATTTCTTTTCAAAGATTGATTTATTCTTATTTTATGGGTGTTTTGCCTTCATGTATGTCTGTGTACCATGAGCATGCTTGTGTCTTCAGAACCAGAAGAGGGTGTCAGATTTTCTAGAATTGGAGTTACAGACTGCAATGAGCTGCCATGTGGGTGCTAGGTATTGAGTTCGGGTCCTTTAGAAGTCAGTGCTCTTAACCAGTGAGATGTCTTTCGAGACACTCTCTTTTCTTAGTCAGTGTTGTTAGATGTTTTACAAAAGAACTAGTTTTTGTCATAGTTGACTACTTTAAAGTAGCTCTGCTTTGTTTTATTATTTTCAGACATTATAACAGTACTTCTTTAAAACTTTCATTCATTTTAATGTATGTCTATGTGTGTATGCTTGAATGTATGTACAGCACATGCATGCAGGTGCCCACCAAGTTCTGAAGAGGGTATTGGTTCTCCCAGAGCTTGAGTTAAAGGCAGTTGTGAGTTGCCTGGTGTGGATGCTGGGAACTGAACCCAGGTCTTCTGCAACAGCATCAAGAGTTTCTAACCACTGAGCCATCTCTTGGTTCCCTCCACTGTACTTCTTACTTATATACCTGCAAGTATACTCTGTTATTCTTTTTCTAGCTGGTCTACCAGGCTGTCCTTGAACTCTGGTAATCCTCCTGTCTCAGCATCCTAAGTGCCAGGATGACAAATGTGAGTTAAATGTGATTCAGAGGCCAGACTGAATCTGTCTTCTGCATGCTCTGACATGTTGTGACATATTACTTTAACTACATAAAGGTGTGTTGCATTTGTTTATGCTGCACGTGTTTAACTATGTAAAGATGTGTTGGTGTTTTACCTTGCCTGCCTAAGGTACCTGATTGGTCTAATAAAAAGTTGAACGACCAATAGTTAGGCAGTAGAGAAATAGGCGGGACTGGTGGGCAGAGAGAGTAAATAGGAGGAATCTAGGCTCCAGAGAGGAGAGAAGAGAATGAGGGAGAAAGAGAGGGAGATTTTCCCTCTTTTTTCCCAGCTGGCCAGACATGGAAGAAACAGGAAAAGCAGAACATACAGAATGAGACAAAGGTAGAAAGCCCCAAGGCAAAAATGTAGATGAAGAGAAACAGGTTAAATTAAGTTATAAGAGCTAGTGGGCCAGGCCTAAGATAAGGCCGAACATTTGTAATTGATGATAAGTCTCTGTGTCTTGAGTTGGGAGCTGGTTGGTGGTCCAGGAAAGCTTGCTACACTAAGCTTGAAAGTCTGGTCTTAGCTCTAGATTCCTCACTGCCTTATTGAAGGGACATGCCTTCCAAATTACTTCTAGGAAAAAGATGAGAATGGAAGACAATGGGCGGAGAGGAAAGGGAGGGCCTGAAGGAAGATAAGGGATGTTTGCAAACCTGCCATCCACCATTATTGCTCTCCTGTTGTATATTTACTGTGACTAGTCAGATTCTCTTTTGAAATGATTTCTGAGTTATGTTCTGCAGATAAACATTAACTTTTCTTGCCATTTAAGAAAATTGTGCCTGGCAGTGGTGGTGCACGCCTTTAATCCCAGCATTTGGGAGGCAGAGCCAGGTAGATCTCTGTGAGTTCGAGGCCAACCTGGTCTACAGAGCAAGATCCAGGACAGGCACCAAAGCTACAGAGAAACCTTGTCTCAAAAAAAAAAAAAAAAAAGGAAAAAAGAAAATTATAAGCATCCATGGTACAAACAAGCCCATTTTAAAGGAGGTATACTTCAAAACATACATGGCCTCCCATTCTTATTTTTCAAACACAAAACGCTACAACTTCATTTTCTTCACACAGCTTCTGTGAACTTGAGTCTGTAATATACAGGAATGGAAAATCTGCCACCAAACACAAAGCACACAGAAAACAACTCTGGAAAGACACCTGTGACCTTATTTTGACTCTTCCCTAAGAGTCACACAGATTAGCTGGTCTCACAGGGGATTACAGGCAGGGAGAGTTCCCCAGCAAAGGGTTGGGGAATCAGGACAGGATAACAAGCATGTTTTCAAAAGGCAGCTGCCAGAAGCAATCAATTTTCAGTTGTTTACAAAATGTGGGAAGAAACAGGGGTCTCCCATTTTGGTGTTTACACTGCAGTCACACATACAGATCACACATTACACACTCACACGCACAAAGCACACACCTCACATATGTGAATCACACATCACCACACATATTACAGGCATATCACACACACACACACACACACACACACACACAGATACATCAAAGACATACACACACATGCACACATCACACACACCTCTCACTCACATGCCCTCATGTGTGCGCACGCACACGCATGCACGCGCTCACACACACACATTCCTTGCTGTCATTAGTATACGTCCCCAAAATTTAAAGTCTAGGGGAAAAAAAAACTGATCCTGGAAAAATAACAGCCAACAGAATTTGCTTTAACTGCAAAGGAGCAACAGAATTTATTGACGGAATTTAAACACAGCAGTTAAAATGGCAACATTGTATTTTCAGTGTAAGATGAATGAAAGCAGAGAGCCGGTTAGTCCAACCTGTTTACATTTGTTAAAAGAGTGGCTATCAAAACCAGCAACATGCACAATAGTACATATGCACAAAATGGAGTTATATCAACAAATATACAAAATATTCAAAATAAAAATATTTACAGGTTTAAAAATATAAACATTGATTCATCTATCCCATTAGACCATCGGAGTAGTGAAGGATAAAGGACCCTACTGGTGTTTAGAACCCTTCTTGGAAGTAGGTTTGGAAAGCATAGAGTTCTTTCTAGGAGACTAACTTTCTGATGTTTTTCAGAGGATTAACATTCTATTATAAAAATAATATATATAAACCTACCAATTACCAGCGATTTTCCTCCTGTGCACAAAAGTGATGCAGCCAAGCCCTGTCCTCAGAGGCTCTCCCGCCAGGAGGTTCTGCTTGGGCTTCCGTAGCCATTGCTGCCAAACGGCCTGCACTTCCTTCTACCACACTGGGAGGCTGCCTGGGAATCAGGGGCCTGCTGGGCCACTGAGGACGAGTGAAAACCACAGGGCTTTATCGTCAGAGTCACTTTTCACTGATATTCTCCTTAAATCCACCACTAGCCATCAGATCAGCCCTGCTGAGTTTACTCTGGAAGTAATGAAAATGCTCGGGCGTTCTTTAGTAGGCAGTGAAGAGCATTCATTAATTCCACCTGGCTACCGCAGGCGGCACAGCAGCATCGGTACCAGCGCTGTGCACATTGAACACAGGGATGGTGCTGTGTTTACCCTCCACGCCCCTCTGCTACTGGACCACACGTGTTCTAGCATTTCTACTTTGCTTTGTTAAATGACTCAGATTTGAAGATGCCTGGGAAAAGCTGGATGCATCTCAAAGAACCAGGCACCACGACTGCATCTATAGGTCTCATATAGGTCAGAGAGTTAATTATTAAATACACCTCCTGACTCCTCCTAGCTTACCATGCAACAGGGTAAGAAGGGCCAGCATTGATTCTCCCACCATGTCCCGTGACGCTGAATCACGGGGAAAGCAGACCAAAGGTAGGTAGCATGTATATGAGTAAAATAATCTTGTTAGTTGTGATATTGATGCAATTTCAAACTGATTTTCCCTACATACTGAGATAGGCATCTCTCTGGGATCAGAGATAAAGGAAACAAGGTCAAAGCCTAATGGATTCCCCACTGAAATTGCTTTTCTGGCTGTGTTATTCGCAAAACAGAGATAAGAGTTTATAGCCCATAAGTACAATCTAAATAAATAGGGGCTATGACCCCCAATTTTAACTGACCTAGATAGGAAAAAGCTTGCTTGTCCCTGAATCAACCTTTTAGACTTGTTAACATAGATTTTTATGAAGGCCATCAATGGCTATTTAAAAACCAAGTTCAGTTTTAATTGAAAGAATCATTTAAATAACAACTGCCATCATAAAAATGGAGTTTGATCCATCAGTTTCTCACTTAAAATGAGTAATTCAAAAGGTTTGTGATGGCCGAAAAAAGTCTCCAATTAAAGCCTGGGCTGTGGGATCAGTTTCAAATGCTGTCCCTGTTACTCAAAATGTGACTCAAGCCTCAAGGATCTTCAAACTTCTCAAGAATCAGTTTCTTCTTCCAGAAAATGGAGCCCAGAGAAGCCTTACATGGTTCTTGTGAGCTATCAAGATAATGGCGTAAAACAAAGTAGAGAGTCCCATTTCTGACACTCCAGGAAACCCAGCCTATGGAAGTCAGTAGAATTAATCACAAAATGATAAGATGTGCTAGGTAAATGCCACTTGAGTAAATTAATGAATCAGAAAATGTAGATCAAGATTCCAGGGCCACTGAGGAAACAGGATGGATAGCTTGTGATCACAGGTACTTGCATCTGGAATTCAGAGCTGGACCAGGGCAAAGGATAACTCAGCTGCTCCCCGTTTAAGAAGACAACAGACAACTAGTTGATGGTGGAGAAACTGGGCCCTTGGGTACTGATGTTAGGGGTGTAAAATGATGCATCTGCTGTGGGAAACACAGCGCGAGGAAAGGTCCTCAAAGGCTTAAAAATAAAATTACTGTGTGGCCCAGCAATTCCACTTAGGGGTATTTATCTGAAAGGCTTGAGAGGTCAGGATCTTGAAAAGCTATGTCCATCCTCATGTACACTGGGGCATTATCCACAGTAGTCAAGACACAGTATCATGTTTGCCGACAGGTGACTAAAAACGTAAAATGCAGTGGACATGCAGCACGATGGGATCGGCATCCAGAAAGGGAGAGCGCCTAACATATGACAAGGTGGACATTGTACCTGGGAGACGCTATGCTCGGTGAAATAAGCAAGTCACAAAAGCCCAAAATCTACCAGATCTCACTGCTCTGAGGTATTTAAAACAGTCCAGCTCCTAGAATCAAACAACAGAGTGGTGGTTATCAGGGCTGGAGAAGGGGGCATGGCTGATCAGTGAGCAATAAAATATCCATGACTCCAGTATGCACAAGTTCCAGAGGTCTGCTCTAAGCCGTGTGCCTATAGCCCTTGTGTGCTGTATTGCACATGTAAAAACTGGAGAGGGCAGACTTCATGCGGGATGTTCTTACTACAATAAAAATAACACAGAATACTCAAAACAAGGCTAGTCTAGGCTTAAGGTAGGAGAGTGAAGAAGCGTGCCCGGAATGGCCAAAATCCTATCAGGGAAGAAGTGTTGCCATGACAACAGAAGAGACTTCTGTCGGTACTTTTCATGTTAATCCCTGGAAGGAGAGGGTGCGCCGAAGAGAAGGAAGCCAATTGTTTGCCTGTGGACCACAGAGGAACAGGGGGCTGCAGGTTCCCTCGTGTGTGACCCAAAGCACCAATGTCTTAGACACGGAGCCAACTTCATCAGCTTGGATGTGAGTCGGCTTTTCCTGTTAGACACAAAGGGAGGTCAATGACTCCAGCAGCTCTGAGTTCTGGTGTTACCAGGACACTAAACAGTTGCAGCCCTGCCCAAGAGACTCGGGGGGAGGGGGAGAGGGGGGTGCCTACAATGAAAGGGTCAGAAAGAACAAAAAGTCTCAAGTAAAGTCCTATCGGGGAGACAGTGTCACCCCATGTGGCTGTTAAGAAAGTGGAGTTACTGGCACACAGAAGAGTTGAGCAAGCGCTGGCCACTGTCAGAAGTTCTAGAAGCATCTGTGGGACTTGGTTTACCACCACTCTGCGCCAACATACAAGCTATTAAGCAATACGCACAAATACGAAACATGCAGGAGGGGAGATGAGTCAAATGAAAGTGTTTGAAAGAATATTGGAAAAAAAAGATCCGATAACAGCACAGCGACACGGAAGCCTCCAACTGGATTTTCACAGTTAAGTAAGTATTAGATATAGCGACTATCCTGGAAATATGCGGTGTGTTGCGTTCAAGTCAATATCATAAAAGCTGCTGTCCGTCAGCTGGAGGACTCGGGACACTTTAACCTTCCCTGATTTCCGCTCAAGGAAGAACTCCTCTCCCTAGTTCAATTCCAAACCACCTTTTGAAGGCTCATCTGTCTGCAGGGGGAGCAATCCCTTTCTTTCTAAGTGGCTATCATTGCCACAAACTGCTTCCTTCAAACCATCTCCAGAGTGGGAGGCGCAGAGAAGCACTCTAGAACTGACAGCCACTGGAAGGCTGGAGAGCAGAGGCAGGTGACACAGCCAGTGACCACTCCGAGCACACACTAAGCACCCTGAGGTGCTCCTAAGCAGTCCTCTTCTGCCACACAAGGGACACACTGCTAAGACCTTATTGACCCCTCACTGGCTCGTGTTTTTTTTTTTTTTTTTTTTGTTTTTGTTTTTGTTTTTGTTTTTGTTTTTTTTTTTTTTTTGCATAGTGAATCAAAATTTCCAAGGCTGAGCTTACACGAATAATTGAGTCCTTTCTTGGTGGGCTGAGAAAGGATAAGACCAAGGTTAGCTGAGGTGTTTGGATCCTTATGCAGAGCCTTCTAACTGGCCATCCTGGAGACAAGGAGAGGCGACGGGAAAACTCTTGTGTTAATATTTTTTAGCACTCGGGAGGGAAGCAGAGTGTAGGTGACTGACTGGCTTATGTCTCAGCCCAGAGAGCCAAGTTCGCACATTTTCAGTGCAAGGAAGACATTTACAAAGAGCAACGAGGGAGCAAAACTTGCTAACATGGTCCAGAAGACCAGCAACAACATGGAGAATGTTGTATTCTCACTATCCAGGGCAGGAGGTAACTATGATGAAAACAAAGGGAGATAAAACCACAAGAGCCAACCTCTTCAGATAATGCTCTTAGTAAAGACCTTCCCCCAGATAGATCAGAGAAAGAGTGAAAAGTGCAAACTCTTAGAAAGTTTGGTCAAAGAAACCTTAACACCTGATATAGGCTTTGACCTTGACAATTGAGTCAGCATAGGGTACTTGGCATATTAATTTCAATGAATGAAAAAGAACTGAGATGAGTGAGTAAGCCCTCTAAGCCGGGCAAGACGTCGTCTGCACAGATTAAACACTGAATGTATATTTGCATGTCAATAGGGCAGATAAGTTTTGTGCAAAAATGAATCTCAGAGGAGTCCTGATGATCTGTATTGCATTGTTGTTATGTGAAATCATAAAAATGTATTTCCTCTTGTGATTATTTGAAATGCTGAAGTAAATGAAATGTCTCCCACTCCATGATGGAGGAGAATAAGAGCCGCCACTGCCAGCAGAACCAAGGCAGGACTAAATGAGTAGTGTGTGTGTGTGTGTGTGTGTGTGTGTGTGTGTGTGTGTGTGTGTGTGTGTGTGTTGTAGATATTAAAGACAGGCTGTCTTTGTTCAGAGCCATTAAACTGACAAATTCCTGCCCAACAGTTGACTTAGCTGTTTGTTCTCTCCTCTCAGGCAGCTCTTTACCCAAAGGGTGTCAATCCGATGGGCCTTAGAACCGCACATACCAAGAAATCATCACTTGCTCATGTCTGACCTTTCTCTAAGAGTCAGCAAAGAAGCCTGTCCAGTTCTCAGAAGACTGTGAGATAACACACTCATAAACAGTTGCATGAAAATCTAGGAATTTCTTGCAAACACAAGCAAGACAAAGTAACCCTTGGCACAAGAAAGCAACTCTGATCCCTTTTCTGTGTTTGGAGAAGGCTGACCACTGTCCTAACTGCTAACAGCTAAGGGCATTCAGTCCACTGCCAAGTGCCAAGTCCTTGACTGGACTGGCACGGGTGCTGTTCTTAAATGTGCAGCATAAAAGAGAAAAATCAGGGTGGGGGGAAGTGTGGTAAAAAGAATTTTATAAATAAAACACTTTAAGTCTTTTGTAACTGGTTAATTGCCAGGAGGAAATTAAGGTAACTAGTGCTAAAATATTCCTTCACTTATAAAGCGAGGATGGCATAGTGGGTGATTGCAGAAATAAACCTCCAAGCTGGGAAGGCTTGAAGGAGGGGCTTCTGGTGCGTCAGCAACCACCTGCCATTACTCTGACACTGTCTGAACCCAGTCTTCATATGCTACCTTCCCTACACAGCTGCACAAGTGCAAACAAAACCCAGCCATGGAGTCCTGCAAAGGTAAATAGGATCTTTGCAGGGAAAAGCACAAGGAAAAAGTGCCTTTGTTTTCCTGCTAGAAGTAAAATGCATGTCCTCTCCGGTTCTAGGGGAAAACAAATGCATTTTTGGGTCTAAATATTTCTATCAATATTAATCAGATTTAAAATCTTTTCTCAAGGGCAGAAGTGATTTTCAAAATATTGCCAAATCCCAACTATTTTGAGATGTCTTCTGTTAATTTTTATCCAGATGAATTCCTGAGCATGTATGAGATGCTTGTATAGTATCTGATTAAAAAGTCCAGAATGCTTAGGGTGATGAGTACGTGGAGGGTCTCATCTCTAGATATAAGGAAATTAAAAATTAAAGCATTGCTTTGCGATAACATCAAGGACCTGAGACAATACAGTAAAAGTCGGTAATCTAAGAGATACAGCAGACCTCTGCCCCCTCTTCTAAGGGAATTGCTACAAATTGGAAATGGGAATATGTTCCTTTATGCCTTATCAAGTTTCCCTTGATGCCCACTTATTTTTGCTTCCTTCACACTATTAAAATAAATTTTCATATATTTAGCTTCTTTTTTTTCTTTTACAAAATATAACTAAAATCTTAAAACACAAAATAGCAAACCATTTCTTAATCATCTCTCTAGAACTCAAATTACACTGTGCTCATATCGTTCACACACATGCAGGGCCACTGGGATATGTGCCATCCTCCCGATGTGCCACAGCACCCCTGGCAGAAGCTCTAGCCCTTTGAGTTAACTGCACCTCCAGAGGACATCAGTTTTTAGTCAGCAGACACTGACAGCATTCGAGGAACCCCTTCACTGCATTGTTCGAACTGCCAAGGCATCAGAGTTTCAGCTAAAATATTAGAGAGCAAATATCGAATCAAACCATTTCTCAAAAGTAATTTAGTAGAATGTTTACACACTTAGGTTTGCCAGTGTCACATGAAGAATACACCTGTTCAGGCATAGGTTTACATAGCAAAAGTAAAATGAGTCGCTTTAAACTTGTATTTTTCTATTATTTCTTGATATGTTCACTTTGGACTTCCTAACCTTGGGGAAATGGTTGGATTCAACATTTTTATAAACAAGGTAAAATCTCTGGTTTGGGCTAAGAAATGGACTCTTAACCAAGGCCAGGCAGATCATTGTTCAAGGGCATTGGATATATATATATATATATATATATATATATATATATATATATGCAAAGAACCCTCATAAATCGAAAGCATCCCTGCCCCAGGTTACAGTGCATAAAGAACCACAATGGTTTGTCATCATATCCAACTATAAGACCAGACTCTAAATTCTATATCATTGACGGGTTGTAAAATGTTAACCGTGAGACAAACTGTTAAAATATGCATTATCTACATGTAAGAAGGTTGACGTTTACAAATGACAAAATACTGTGTAACTAGCATTTAGTGAGATCTTTCCCTGATCCTAATTTTTGCCCCAAGAGGGAGGAGTAGACCCAAAAAATACACAAACAAAACAAAAACCACATAAACTAATCATGAGCCTTTTATTTCTCCTCAAACAAATGATCTGAACCAGCCAAACTAAAACCTTTCTGTTTTTGTAGAGATAGATCTTTACCTATTTGTATGTCTGGCAACTGGACGTTGGGGCGGGGGGATTCTGCCAGCCAGTAGTCCCTCTTCTCATCACATAGCTATTTGGATCTTTAAGCTTTGCAGGTGTTTCCCACACAGTGATAAGCAAAGGGTCTTTGTTTTGTTTTGTTTTGTTTTTTCCTGGAAAGAGAGGCAAGAATTCTGTTGTTAGTGATTCCTCAAGGCCCTCTTGATTCTAGAACAGCCCGATATCCTGGCGTGATATATTTGTTAGATTTGGTTAAATTTTATTTTCTGCAAAAGCAAGGGAAGGCGACTTCTGATCCATGAATTAAAGAAAAGAAGAAGAAACCCAGATTTTTTTAAAAGTTAAAAGAAAAAAAAAGTGCTAGAAAAGAATTCCCAGGAACTTATCTGAACTCCAGGTGTAACATCCCCCTTCCAGGGTGCCCTGTCCCTGTCTCCAACAAAGACTTCTAGGCCATATGGAGAAGGGTGGGTCCTAAATGGTTTGCTTTGGGGAAAGCAAACTTCCTTCAGTGGTTTCCAGGGGAAAGTTGTATTCCTTAACTCACGGAACATCCATCCTCCTTGGCCTTGGAGACCTCACAACTTTTTGGCACTGTCATGGCATGCTGCTGCCCTGATAGTGGTCCCAGCCAAACCCCGGTTGCTGACCCTGCGGACCAGCACTTTGGAAACGGGGATTTTTGTTCTGGGCATCTCACTCCTGGCTGGTTGCTGGTGCACCACAGGATGGCTGGATGGGAGGTTGGAGAGATGCTTGATGCTAATGGGGATTTTAGAGTCCTTCAGCAAGCTGCCTGGTGTTCTCAGCGGACAGGTGATGGTGCTTGGAGACACGGGCTTGAGCCGGGACAAGCAGGGTGGGTCCTCTGTGGCAGGAAGGGCAGCTGGGCTTCCTTCGGGTTCAGTGTCGAGATCATAGAGAGCATCGCCACTGTCGCTATCCCTGGGGATGACTGCCTTCTTACTGCTGCTGGCGCTATCTTCTTCTGGACCAGGAGTGGTGGAGTCCCAGTAGCCCTCGTCGCTGTTAGGGACACCTTCTTGATGCTCCTTCTCCGGGTGCTTTGGCTCGTCCTTCTGCTGAGCCTCAACGGGGATCCTGTGGAGCCTCCTGCGCTTGACAGAGGACACGTCCTTGACTACTTCCCCACACCGGGCATCATTGGAGGTCTCAGGGGCCAGTTTGGTGTCCGAAGCAGTGGCAGCCTTCGCTGCGCCCTCTTGGGGCCCTTGTCCTTGGTCCTCAGTCTGGGACAACATGTCCCAGAATTCCGGGAGATAGGTGTCGTCCACCTCATCCGGGCTGGCCATCTCCTCCCCTCCTCCTTGGTAGGCCACCACGCTGGTGTTCTTTTTAGAGAGCACTGCCTTGCCTGGCCCGGGGGCATGCTTGTCACAGCTGGGGCCTGCCTCTTCTTCTGGGTCTGCAATAATATCTCCACAGCCTGTAAGAGAGTCAAAGCTTTTCAGTGAAGTCACGTCAGAAAACATCAAACAAATACGATCTGCCGACGGGTCTGAGGGTGGATCAACAGAGGAAGGGTCAGGGACGGCAGACGCCCGGCCGCTGCCACCTTCGGAGTCGACAAGGGGGACGGTCTTTATCGGAACGTCACCTGTCCTGGACGCATCCTCGGCCGCCTGGACCTCGCCGGCTCCCGACTCGAGGGCTGCCCCGGGCTTCTCCGCGCGCCAATGCCCCTCGGCGTCCTCTCCCCGGGCGCTCTGGTCGCCAGGGCCGGCGGGGCTCGCGGCCTCGAGGCAGGTCCGCGCCGGGGCGCGCTCGGCGGACGCGGGCGCCTGCTCTCCCCCTTCGGGCTCACCTGCTGCGTGTCGCGGGGCGTCCGGGCCCGGGCTGTCCGGGCGGCGCGCGGCTCGGGGCGGCTCCTCCTTGACGCACTCCAGGCTGGCGGTGAGCGAGCCGGGCAGGACTAGGCTGCCCGGGCCCGCCGCGCGCGCCGCCTTCTCCTCCTCCTCCTTGCCGCGCTTGTCCCTCCGGTGCCAGCGCATGCTGCTGAAGATCCCTTTCAGCCCCCTCTTTTGTTTGCCGCCAGCCTTGCTCGCCTCGGCAGGGTCCCCCTTGCCGGTCTCGGATCGCCCGTTCTTTTTCAGCAGGGAGAAGAAGCTGTGGGACTTGGCCACCGAGCTGCTGGCCAGAGAGCCCAGACCAGGCCCGGCGGCTTTGGGGGGCCCGGGGTTCGGCCGGGCCCCGCCGTGATCGCCCCCGCCGGGCGGCTCCTCCTTCTTGCTGCCCTCCAGCACCAGTACCTCCGCTAGTCCGTCGTGGGTCCTGCTTCTCACCATCCCCGTCGGCCCCGCGCTCTTCCCATCCCCTTTGTTTTTGACCCCAAAAATGCTGGGCATGGTCCCCCCAGATTTCCTCTTCTTGAATAACTTGAACGCAGCCTTATTGATCTTCCCCGACGGCGGCTCTGCGGCGGGCGTCTCCGCGGCGCACTCACAATGCGAGTCCATGTCTGCGGCGAGGGCCCCGGCCTGCTCCTGCCTCCTGCAGACCCCCGCGCGCGCGTCGCCGCGCTCGCTGACAGCCGCGCCGCCGCCGCCGCGGCTCCTGCCCGTCTCCATGGAAACCGAGCGGGATCAGCCGCTGTCGTCAGCCGCAGGCTCGCGCCAGGCCACTGTCACCCGCGTTCTAAATCAACCTGAGCGGCTCTCGGCTCTCGCTGCTGCTGCGCCGTGGCTGCTGCGACTGCGGCGGCCGAAGCGCACAGACCGGACTATCTCCCCTCCTGCCAAGGGCTTATATAATACCCTGGGCGCCACATAGGTTTTTGTGTAGCAAGAGCCCTCATCACAGACTCGAGCTGAAAGAAAGAGAAAAAAAAATGAAATTCGCAATTATGGGCTTCGGATCCCAGTGCGTCGACTCTCACCCACCTCAGGTTCCTGCTCTAGCCTGGCATATCCTAGGAGCCCAATTTCAGACATCAACATATGCTCGCCCACGCCCCAAAAGAACAAGGCTGTTTCCTTTATCATCTGTCTCGGAATTCACGCAGCCTCCAGTCTCTCTCAGGTCCTTCACATAGGTCCTAACGTGTGGGCATCAAGCCCAGGAGGCACCATACCGATCCGTCCACGCCTGTGTCGGGTCCTGTGCTAAGTGTGTTTTGGGGTTGATGCTGCATTCGGATCATGTGGATCTGATTCCTGTTACAGAAGCAACAGCCATCAAAGAGCAATTTTAGCAGCTCTCAGCCACGAAAGGGCAGCAGTCCCCTGGGGCGGGGGTTCACTGGTCTTTGGGAAACCGTGAAGCTTTTACCCCACACTCCAGCGACATAGGGCTTAAGTCACAGAAGTCACTGTCCAGCCTACAACTGGTCACAACAGCCTGAGAAGACTGAGAACTTCCCTTGGAAAGCCCTGGTCCCTCTACAAGTGGGCCTTAGAGGCCTGGGTTCTGTCTTCCTCTTCCATTCAGGGGTATGATAAGTATGTCTGTCCCTGCTGTGACCACCCTGTCCCTGGCTATGAACACCCCATAAACCACTTGCCATCTTCCCCAATAGGACAGGAAAAAAACAGACAGGGGTCAGGGCCAAAGAAAACTCCATTCCTGAGAACAACCCAGTCTGGGGTACTTTCCTGTGTTCTATCTTTGAAGGTGACCAATAATATTGTAACTTTTCCTAATCAAGGGCTTATCAGCAAAATAGGGAAGGATTTGGAAAAATGTTATGTTTTATAATGTTTAATAACACTTCTTAAATATTGTTTGACTATATATACTATTTACATACGTATACAAATGCCAGTTTTTCCTGCTTCTCTTGTATTTATTTTCTGTGTTGCTTATATTAAGCAGACTCCATTGTTGGCCATGGCAGCTTCCATGGTTCATGTTTAGGCTGTGGAGTTCAGAGCAGTACATTGCCCTTATTCAATTTGATGAAAAATGCTGACAACTGAGATTGGGTTCAGTGGATCTCAGAGTTCGAACCCTGCCAGCTCTCTCCACTGATTAACAGACAGGGATGTGAGACAGACTTTTCTCAATATCCCTTTTAAAAAAATTATTTTTCTTTTCAAAATATTTATTTCTTTTGTAGTGTGTTGGGGCACACATGTGCCACCGTGAAGGACAATTTGTGGAAGTTTTCATCTTCTACTATGGGGGTCCCAACAATCAGTTCGTCTGGCTTGGTGGAAAGAATCCTTACCTACTGAGTTATCTCTCTGGACCATTTCCTGAAATTCTAATTGACCATGTGACATGATGGAAGAGAGCCCCATATGCCCTGCAAAAGACAGGGTATGAAGAACTATAAAGAGGAAGTCATTTGTTATTTCTCTGAAAGCTTTTGGAGGACAATTGGAAGTCTGTCTCAGTTCTTTAAACATATGCACGCACACACACACACACCATGCTGGCTAGATATGTGGGTTACTATATAAGTAACTGTGTCAGTCTGAAATTGCTTCAGACCACAATCGAGAAGAACAAGCAATCTAGAAAAAAATCACAGGTCTCTGAGCCTAAGAGTTGGAGTAGGTGGCCTGCTTAGCCAGTAGATCGCTGTCATCCTCCAAGACAGGCCAAATGTAACTCATCTACATAAGAATTCTTCAGTCCCCAGGGAGAAAACTGACCGAGGACACTGGGATTGCTATCATTCCTTTGGGACCTAGATGCTTAAGAGAAAGGGACAAAGCAGCCTTCAGTGTGGGGAAGGCGTCTGGGTGCCAAGTCATCACCTGTGGAGGAAGGAAGCAGGACACTTAGAGCCATCTGTTAGCCTGAAGCAGCCAACGGGCAAGGTGAACTCCAGACTGACTGAGGACTCCCCACTTCCTCTCCAGGTGGGAGAGAGCAGCTTACAAGGGATCCCATCAAAAGGACCACACAGGTTGGCCAGAGGGCAGGAGCAGCAGGATGACCTGAGGGTTAGGGCTAAAGGCATGCTATTGAGTGGCCGAATGAAGGACCAGGGTTCGGAGCCAAGGCAAAGATGTCTACAGACCTGCAACTGCTCTTTGCTCTCCAGAGCTGAGATGGGCAAACACCAGGCCTGGTGGTGCAGGCCTGGGAACTCAGATACATGGAAGTCTGAGGCAGGAGGATTGAAAATTGAAGGCCTGACTGACTTGAAGAGAGGGGTCAAGATCAGCCTGGGCAATGTAATGAGAACCTGTCTCAACATGAAAAGTAAAAAGAGGCTCAGGATATAACTAAGGGAGTTTCCTAGTTTGCACAAGGCCCTAAAATCAATCTATATCCCCACCAGCTCCACAAAGTGGGGCAAGAGACTATATTTGTACAAAACAGAAGCAATTTTTAAAGACAAGCAAGAGATTTAAGATAATTTTACCAGAAGCACCCCAGTTGTTTTTTTAAGATTTTATGTATATATGTATGTATGTATGTGTATGTGTGTATGTGTGTGTATGTATGTGTATATGTATGTATTATAGTGTTCTGCCTGCATGTTTGCCTGCAAGCCAGAAGAGGGCACCAGATCTCATTATAGATGGTTGTAAGCCATCATGTGGTTGCTGGGAATTGAACTCAGAACTATTGGAAAAGCAGCCAGTGCTCTTAACCTCTGAGCCATCTCTCCAGCCCAACACCCCATTTTTTTTTTATTGTATCTCATCCTTTTACTTCATGGAAGTTCAATTTAGAGAGTGAAGTTGGAGAGAATAAACTGAGGGAAAATGTCCAGCAGTAAAGCTGCTCCAAAACATAAGGATCTCCACAAAGAGACCAGCAGCAGACTTCACTGGAAAACCGGTGTGAGCTTTGCTTTTGCAGGACAAGGGAGGATTATCATGGAGCTGGGACTTTCCTCTTTGGAGGAAGACACTCAGAACAAGAAAAAGGTTGAGAAAAAAAATATCCTTCGAAATATAGCATCATCATGGTCACCATCATTATTTCCTTGTGGAGGGTCTTCTACCCAGCTGACCCCCTGTCTCTGTCCTAAGCTTGCCAAATGGAATCTTCAGTCAGGTGAACTGCACAGAGCACCACATTCGAAGGGCTGGCTGAGGGTTCCCCTCCAAGTCCCCGTGTGGCTGCTGCTGGAGGACACTGCATGTAACAGCAGTTAGGAGGGAAGAGCTCACTGGCTCTGGATTCAACTGGCCTCAAGCCTTTAAAGTATTTAACCAAGGTGGTTTGGGAATGATTCCTGGATTAGAACCAGCACTTGCCACCTGAATACCAGTTGGCCAGTCTAGATCCCACCCCAAGTGGAAATGTCTAGCCTCTGATTTTGTCCATTCTTACCTATGATACGATACTTCCCCAAGGTGTGCTCTTGAAGTGGTCCTTCCGAGGAGGGTCAAAAGTCCAGCCAAAGTGTTTGTGAGGGACGGTTTTCAACAGTGTCCATATGCCCAAGGCCAAGATGTCACCTGGGTCCAGTTTTGTACCTGAATCAAAGATATAAGTGACCCAGTACAAACAGAATGAGCACTTCTCTCCAATGCTAATGGGTGCCCAGCGGACACAGGCCCAGGCAGTGGCTGACAGGTCTAGCATTTCTAGCAGCAGCAGCAGCAGCAGCAGCAGCAGCAGCAGCAGCAGCAGCAGCAGCAGTCTGTTTCCAGGGGCTACTGTAACAGACTACCACGAGCCTGGAGGCTTAAAAAACACCAGGGATCTATCATCCTGCAGTTCTACAGGTCAGAAGTGCAAGATCAAGGTGGCAGTAGGGCCAGTTGTGACTGTGGGCCCCAGAAGCCACTCTGTCCTGTGCCTATACCCTGGCCCTGGGTATTGCTCAAGTCCTTGTTGCCTCTTGGCTTTAAAACATTTCATTCCACTCTCTGCCACCATTGCCACAGACCTTCTTTTCTCAGCATTATGCCAATTGTACTAAGGGTCTACCCTTTGGAGGTGCTGAGGTGGTGGTAACAGCATTTGCTGCACAAGCATGAAGACCTGGGTTTGAATCCCCAGTGTCTATGTAAAAAGTCAGGCATGATTGTAACCCCAGTGCTGCGAGACCCAAAGGATTCCTAGGGGTAGCCAGCTTCCAACCTAGCTCTAGTTTCAGCAAAAGATGCTGTATCTGAGGAATAAGGCAGAGAGTGAGATAGCACGACACCTAACATCCCACTCTGACCTCCATGGTCACATGCATGTATATGCACATAGACACACCCCATACACATTCCACCCTACCCTGATACTGTAAGTAAATTGCTTGCAACTCTGTGGGTTTGTTCCTGAGTTTCAGCACCAACAATGTAAGTAAATTTGTTGCAGCAACTCTGGGGAAAGGTGTCCTTACTACCTGGGGAGTCAGGCAACACCTTGAGCTGCTTAGTACAGCTCTGACAGCTGGAACTGCAAGGAGACAGTTCAGCCCTGGAGGGTAAGGTATCCTGGACACCTCTAGCTGCTCAGAACAGCTCTGTCCTGAAGGCCTCTGACAGCTGGAACTGCAAAGAAGCAGCCCAACCCTGGAAGGGAAATTTTTCTGACTTCTGGGGAAAGTCAGGCCTGGAACTGCTTCAGCAAAGAAGGATATCCTGACTATTCGGGAAATTCAGGATATACCTGGTGTGATGGGGGATGGTCTCCCCGCAGGATATAGCAATCCTGCTCCTCTCCTGGAGAGCCGCTACAGTTGAGCTTTGCTCAGCCCCCACTTAAGGGGGCTTCCTAGCAGAGCTCTGCTTCTCCAGCCTAAGATGTTGCTTCTTTTGCTTCACTTGGCCAAAGGGGAAACCCCTTCAGAAATGTAGCAATCTCCTCCAGCTCCGGAGAAAAGCGTTACTTATTAGCTCTCTGTCTGGCTCTATCTGAGGGACGTCTCAGCAAAGATCTGTTCATCTCCTCCTTGCTCTGCTGTTTCAGCTCTCTCTTGCTTTGTCCACTGAGGGACGTCTCAGCAAGGATCTTCTCCACGTCAGTGAATGAAGATCTTCTCACCTAAAACTCTTTCAAGAAAGAGGTGTATCTGGGAAGGAGGAGTCCAGGAGAGTAGCTACCTCTACCAGGGTGGAGAGAACAGCCCTTTTTTCTAACTGACCAGACAGGGCAGTTTACACAGGATGTCTTGGGGGTGGAGTCAACCAGGGGTTGACTTGGGGCCCAGGGTTCTACTGCCCTGCTCTGTGATTGGTTGGTTTCACAAGTCAGTTGGCCAGGGCCAGAGATGGCTCTGATCTGACTGAGCCAAACTGTGTTCTGCCCTGATCTGAGCCATCTTTCTCTAGTTCTGGGTCAGGATGGGTTTCTTTAGCCAGCCCCTTTTCCCTACAGATACAACCTCATCTTACCTTTTATCTTAGTTACATTTGCAAAGCTCTATTTTGCAATAAGGTTCCATTCCCAGATGCCAGTGGTTAGGACTTCTCCATGTCTTTTGAAGTATACAGTTTAACCCACAGCAAACGTTATTGCCTGTATTGCCTGTGGTGGTGGCCGCATCTACCCTTCCTTCTGTCCTTCAACACAGTCACTGAGTTCTTTGACACAGACATTGTTTTTGGTAAATTCACACTAAACATAGGCTACTCTGATATAAAGTTCCCCTGGAAGCTATCTGGGCTGTGGATAGCCTTTCTGGGGATATCAGCAAGGTGGAATCGCACCATGGTCAGCCCAGGTAAACAACAGAGAAAATGGTGATGACCAAGAAGAGCAGGTGCCTCTGTAGACTGTGAGACCCATAAGATGCCCCAGGACTATCCAGGAGAATCGTAAGTGGGTGTGAGAGACGTAGTAAGAAGAATAGAACAAAGGACATATTGATGGGAGCTTTGACAATTCTGTTCATGCACCTAAGCCTGAAAAAACACCTCACAGAATCTCCAGCAGTCTATTCTTCCCAAACATTTTTTGCTCTGTTTTGTCAGAGACACTCTCAGAAAAGATTCCATCTTAAAATGCAGGGTGGGATGGGGTCCTTTCAGCTGTCAGCTCCAAGGCGAGGCCAAAAGCAGAGCAAATGAGGTCAAATAGCAGAGGGTGTGCAGACAGGATGCCAGGGCTCTGGCTCCAAGCAACAGCGGTAGAGGGCAGCCACACGGACCACGGAAGTCAAGAAGTCAGTGGATCCCGATGGAGGCAAGTAGAAAGCTTGACAGGAGAGCCCACAGCCGGGAGCTGGGAAGCAAGGCTGGAAGGGAGCTGTGGAACCAGACTGTGTCACAATGGAGAGATGACGAGGTCTAGAGAGTCGATGCCCTTGCCCCTCGGGGTCCTTCAGCTCATTTTAGGGAAACTCTCGTCTATATCCACTTCTGACAAAGTCAGCATTACACAGAAGCTTGGTCCAGCCCACTCAACAGATGTTCAAGCACGGGCCGCTCGGAGGGGCTAGAGCAAGCCCTCTGTTCAGGTTCCTTACCTTTCACCCTTGCATCCAGCCATTGCAGCAAGTGGCCCTGACATCCTGATCACAATCCCAAGACCCTTCTAGAATGACTGCCCCCTTTCTCAGTCAGTGGCAGAACCCCTCTGCTCTCAGGTCGCCAAGTTCAGAGTTAGGGAAAGAGGGCATCTCATGCCTACTCTTTTGCAGGTTACCAGGGCAGAGCATGCAGAACAGAGCCCTTCCTAAAGACCTTCAGCTTGGCTCTGTTTCTGTGAAGCAGATTCACTCTGTGCAGGAAGAAAGTTCAGGGAGAGATTCTGAACACTCAGCCAGTACCACACACCAGTTCCCTTCCATTTGCAAATGCTCAGGGAAGCAGACCTAACACCACGGTTAAGTGAAGCAACCACATGCGCTTGTGTGTACGCAAACCTGCCCCAGACACCTGCATAAATCTCACACATACTTAAGAGAAACACACACATGCCTAACTCCAAAAGCTAAGTCTCACCTCTGTCTACTTGTGTTAGTGAATTCCCCAGCCCTGGCCTGTCACCACACCCCAACAACAATAACATATGCCCCAACTACTCTGAGCATGCTCCCTGAACATGTTTTTGTTTTGCTTTTGTGTTACACTGCATCCGACTTCTGGAACACCTCACCTCACCTCTGGAGCTAATGATGTCCTATGCATCCCAGGTGGCAGTTGGGACCACAGTTGTCCTGTGTCCCTCTGAAGCCCTGCAGATTTCTGTAATATGTCACATATGGAGAGACCATTTTCTACATAGTGTCAGTCAACTTGGTCACTTCCCATAAACTGACTCTGACTGGACTCAGCTGGGAGCTGACAGGGCTGCTGTCAAGCAGCTCTATCACTTCTGTCAGGGGCTGATGGGTAGTCTTCGGAGTGGTGAGCTCCACCAGTCTCGTCATGTGGGAGGTGGGTTACTTCCTTTAGTGGTTTGATATGTTATGTAGGGTTTTGCTAGCTTGTGTACCAGATATAGCCCCAAATCGCAGGAGTCAGCCCAACAGAGGCCTGTTTTTTGCTTTCTTGGTTCACTTGTATCATTATAGCAAAATACCACAGAATGAGTATTGTATGTATGTATGTATTATTATCTTATTTGTATTTACTTATGTAGCCTATCTTTATCATCATCATCATCATCATCATCATCATCATCATCATCATCATTGTTTATCTGTGTGTGTTCATGAGCAAGCATGCACATGACAGGCACAGATAGAAGCCAGAGAACAACTTTTAGAAGTCAGTTCTTTCCTCCCATTGCGGGGTCCAGGATCTCAATCAGTTCTCCAGGCTTGTGCAGCAAGTGCTTTGATCCGCTGAGCCACCTCACTGGCCCCAGGTCATGTATAAAGAACAGAATTGTGCTGTTTTCTTCTGGAGACAGAGAAATCCAAGATTAAGGCACCAGCAGACGTTCTATGTGGTTTGGCCTTGTGGTTCCTAGATGGCATTATCTACCTGTATCTTCAGATGGTCCCCTTCCCTCTGTCCTCTTTTATAAAGGCACTAATCTATCACAAGGCCTCCACCATCATGGCCTGATCACCCCAAGGGCCATCACCTTGGAGCATTTAAGCATAGGAGTTTGAGGAGTATACAAACATTCAGACTTCATCACTCATCTACCTGTTCTAGACAGAACTACAGGAGAGGGCAGGAAACATGTTCTGACCCAGCCATATACCAAAGTCCAGGGAGGAGCTAGCACATGAGAGCAGACCCTGATAGACCATCCCACTTTCCATCTTCAATAGATGGACTTTCGTTTATTTTCCATGCTCCTCAAAACTTATGTTCAGTCTCTACCACCTGCCAAAAACAAAGGAACCTGCCCCCCCCCAAAAAAAAACCACCTGCTCTCTGCTCCAAATAAATATTTTGGCTTCACCTCCCTGTAGTCACTAGCTTTTAAGTAACTATAGCTAACATACATAATATTATTCATTCATACCAGGAAAGGCGCAAAGCTACACAGAGAAACCCTGTCTCGAAAAACCAAAAAAAAAAATTATTCATTCATTCATTTATTATTTATTCCTTTCTTCATTTATTAATTTTTTATTTATTTATCTAGCAGTGTTGAGGCTCAAAACAAGAAAGAGCCTTGTGCATGCTAGGCAAACTGTGTAACTCTGACCTTAGCCACTTTTTAAAAATACAGAGTCTTGTGTAGCCCAGGCTAGCCTCGAACTTTGTGTATATTCATCTGAGAATAACCTTAAACTTCTGATACTCCTGCCTCTACCTCCCACGTGCCAAGATTAGGCATTTTGGGAATTGACTACAGGGCATCATGCAAGCTAGGCAAGTACTCAACCAACTGAGCCTGACTATAGCGAACACTTCTGACAAGTGGGTCATGTTGATGCCCTCCTGATGAAGTGTGATCAATTCTCAGTCTAAAAACAGCCCCCAAACTTTTCCTAAGAAGACCTACTTGAGTCTTGCTCTCCTGTGTCACACCCTTGGCCCCATTATGAATGAGGCTGTTCTCTTTCCCCCAAGTCATCGTCTCAGTGGTTAGTCTGTCTCAGGCCTGGCTCAGGAATTCCACTCCCAGCTGGGCTCTCCAGGTCAGTTTGCCTTTTCCTTGGAGAGGAATATTTTGGGTTAAAGTAAATACACTTAGTACCTGCATGAAACAGGCTAAATTAAACACCTGGGTGTGGTTACGCCCACCCCCAGGGTATATTGGAGAGGGCTTCCATCAGGTCCATTCATTCTAACTGCTCACTGGGTGCTGCTCTTCACGGCACAGAGGGCGCCTGCCACTGGCCACTCTAGGACACTGGCCCAGGTGAGGCACTACGCCACCCTCCAACTCACTAGGGCTGGTGGCATCTTTGTTCCTTCCTCAGACGGTAGGCCAGGATAGCCAGGCTTAGCAGCTTGGATGTTATTTTGTCTCCTTGCAAGTAGGGTGGGGTTTGGAATCTGTTTTCCTCCATGATGGGTTAATCCCCAAATAGCCAGGCTTCCTTCTGTCCCACATGCTAACCACCACCGGGGTATTCCTCGTGGGCTTTGATGGTAAGACCCTGATCTGGATGCACCAGTCTATCATTTGTGCTTCTCTTGTGTCTGCCCCAGCAAGCTTACTGTCTTCAAAAGACAGACATCTCAGCAGATGCATTCACCCTGGGCTTTATCCTGGGCTCACACCAGCGAGCTCATTAGCCAAGTTAACTATGGTTTTTTTTTTTTCCCCTTTCCTTTTAGTTGGTAGCAAAGACCAGGATCACGTGAGCTGCCCCCTAGCAGCCCTCATTCCCGCATGTTTGGGGGAACAGTGACTCAAATTACCCCTAAGCAGGAGAGCTATGCTTTCTAAGAGTGCTTCCGTCTTACAAGTGTCTGTTTTAATTTTAGCAGAAGACTGAAGCTCCGGCAGGAAATTTGTAGGTCAGCTGTACTTCACATTTAAAAAAAAAAAAAAAAGCAACTCCAGCCAAAAAGAACAGCAAAGCTATGGCCTGGGCTTCTTGGAGTGTCCTGTCTGATTACCCAATTGTTACGGCATAGATTAGGAAGGATTAACCCCGGAGGTTGGACAGATGGAGAGCACTATTAAAATACCCCATGTGGGGCTTCAGAGTAAGCAGTAGTAACCACCTGTCCCCATTTTGTAGGTCAGTTTGTCTGTCCTCATTTAGAGTCCTAAGATCATTGGCTTTGGTGCCCGTGTCTGGAGAAACTGAATAGCCCAGGGCCAGCCCTGTCTGGCCTAGCAGCTCTGCCCTCCCGGCCTCTCCCTGTCTCTCCCCACGTCCTAGATTAGATTGGTAGAAGCATACCTTGCTGAATTACAGGGGACTTTAGGGTTATCTCCCAGGGCCCTGGAAACAGATCCGGGCATGTTATGAGACTAACAGAGAGGGAGTTTTCAAGTCCGGGCCTGTTTGGCATCCATTAACTATTAAACAGCTGGTGTCCCTTTCTTTGATTGTCAGTAATGGGGACTCCATCAGAACCATGGAGCTGTGATTCCAGAAGCAGGGAAGAGGAAAGTGCTCCTTGAGACTTTGTTCCTTTTCAACCCTACACATTGGAGAAGGGTCGGCAGGCGCAACAGCCTGGGCCTGCATCCACCTTGACTTCCTAGGCAGAGTAATACAGAATGTTCTATTCAGTAACTGAAAATTCACAGGCTCCTCCACTCCCAAGTCTTTCATCTTCTCGACTAGGAGTGCTGACTTCCTAAGGATGTGTTCAGAGGCATTAATGGCTGATGAAAAAAACATAACAAATCAAATGCGGTAGGCAGTCTCCAGCAGGAATGATTTAGCCAGAGTGCTTCTTCCTTTCATATCTATCTCGAGTCAATAAAAAAAAAAAGTATTGAGCAACAGCTCCATCAAGACAGGCCCCAGCACCACCAAAACAGAGCCCACGCGAGAGGATTGACTGGTCCCAGGTTCTATTGATACCACCCACTCATGATCAAGTGTCTTGGAGAAAGCTGACTCTGCCACCTCCAAATAAGGCTCACGCTAGACTCACTGATTCCACCAGACATGTTCGGTAGTTGAGATAAGTTTTGGTAAATCTTCACAGCTTCCTCCCTTGATCCTTGTGGTTTGAATAAGAATGGCCCCTTGGTTAGGCAGTGGTGGCGCACGCCTTTCATCCCAGCACTCGGGAGGCAGAGGCAGGCGGATCTCTGAGAGTTCGAGGCCAGCCTGGTCTACAGAGTGAGATTCAGGACAGGCTCCAAAGCTA